GGGGTGCTACGGCACAATTTGGGGTGGCTGCAGCACCCCCCGTAGCCCTCTCCCAGTGCCGCCGTCTGTCCCAAGCCCAGCCCCTGCCAAGAAGAGCCCGGCACAGCCCCAGCTCCAGCCCGCCCAACCTGCGCAGATCCGGGAGGCACACATTGTGTACAACCCCTCCCCTACCCCCCATGAGCCACAGGGGACTTGGCTGGGCAGCACCTGCCCCAGCCCCTGCCTCACTCCCTCCCTCTCTGTGGGGGGCATTGATCTGCCCCCCTGCCCCTTCCCTCCCTACTCCCCTTCCACCACAATGGACTTACCAACTGCACACAACTCTCCAAGCTGCTGTGCTGTGCTCCTTGCCACCTGCATGCTGCAGCACAGGTATGTGCTGCACTGCAGCTGTGAGCATGCACAGGCATTTATCAGCCAAAATACTGGCTGCATGGGGCCAATTTCCAATACAGCCAATTTATTTATATTAGTGCTGATCCAATATCGGACCGATGTATCGGTGTACCTCTAATTAGAAGATTATATGTTAAACAAATGTATACTGTTGATTTAATTATGCAATTCAATACATAGATACCAACCAGGATATATCAAGACAGCTTTAATTTGCAACAGCCTTTCCAATGATTTCATGTACTCATAGAGGTCTTCAAATATTGCCGTCCCTTCTCCTAGAATACAGTCACCAGAGAATATAGCATTTTCTTCTATGAGATGCAAAACCATATGATCATCAGTGTGTCCAGGTGTATATAAAACTCTGTTAGGAACAAAAGCATAAATTTACATGCAGGATGGACACAAAACCCCTTACAAGGAAAAGAAATATATATAAACATGTAAATGTTTGTGATTAATAAAGAAACTACAATTCTATAAAGAATTATTATAGAGATATGAAATAGCAATGTAAAAGAAGATACAGCTTAGGTTAACCCATTATAAATTCCTAGATTTCATAAATCCATGTGGGATTTGGCTTACATCAGCAGTCAGAAACGTTTTTAGGCTGCAGGCTAGAATTACCCACGTTGGGTCAAAGCAGGGTGGGCACAAGGACCTGGCTGCTACTGCTGCTTCTTTCTGAAGCCCCATGTCTACAGGCTGAATTAATGGGCTCTGCAGTTTGCATCTGGCCCACAAGTCATAAGCTGCCGATTCTGGGCATAGTTAGCCCCACATTCTATAACACAAGTTTTTCTACTATACATGTAGTATCTGAGCATTTCCCAGCAGTGCATTAAGTGATATGACTACTCTCTCTCATGTGGCTACTTTTCCTCTTATTTGCTTCCCTACAGGCAAACTGTATGCTCAGGAATTTTATTGTGGCTAAGTTCATAAATATATGTGCATGTACATGCACTCACACACCAAACACACAGATAGAGCTATATGTCTATGTTACACATGCAAAGTTGAAGAAATGCACCTTACAGGTAGAGCAGAATGGAATGAGGTGTGAAAGGATCGTCCTCCGTCTTCATCCAAGTTCACACTATAGAATCAGGCTGTCCCTGAACAAAGTTGTATCTTCTGCATTTTTGATCTTCACCTTTACGGAAAATGTTTCACTGTGGCAGAGGAGTAAAAATGCCAATCCAGAATCTTCATCCCAGAGCTTTCACTAGTCTTTTAGATCTCCTGGGCCCAGGCCAGGGAGCACCTTGAGGATAATGACCAAGACCTGAAACTTGATTTTAAGTTATTTGATAAACTAGTGCAGGGAGCAGGAAACAGTTTAGGGTGTTCACTATAGTCCATGTTGCTGAGAAGATCCTAGTCAGTATTTTGAAATCTCCATAGTTTCTTAAAGACTTGATGGTGTTGGGCCCAGGTATAATGCATTTGTATATTCCATCCAAGAGCTAATAAAAGTATGTATAGTTGTGCCCAGGTCACTCTGTCAAGACAGGCAAAGTCTTTCAGCCAACTGAATATGGTTTAAAAATATATTTAGGAATAAAGTTGTAGGCAGGACCTCCTAGACCATTAAGTCTAGTCCCCTATGTTCTCAGGCATTTGTTATCCAAAGCAATTGCCAAAATTACCACTTCAAATCCTTACCCTCACAACTAGAAGGAAAAACAACCCAAACACTAAGAGCACCATATAACATAAGTTACAGGTAAAAGGGGGGGGGGGGAAACACACAAAGGCACTTTCAATGAACTGACACAATGATAAAGCAGCAGTTAATATATGCTTAGTGGATCCTACGAAAAGGACCAAGTTCCATACTACACAGGAAGGCAAAAATATCCACAATCCATACTAATCTGATCAAGAAAGGGAAAATCCTTCCTAACCTCAAATTTGGCAATAGGTAAGACCTTACATGGTAGACGAAGATGCTTTAGCCAGAACCTCTTCTAGGTTTTCTAGTACCAACATGAACTAAAAATAATGCTTTATTACCTAGCTTGGTATGACATTTTAATGCTCTATTACCTAGCTCAGTATGAAACTGCTTACTAAATAAGAACATTTTAAAAAATGTTCCTAATAGGGTCCACTCCAATTAATAGTCATATGCCTATTTTTACCCCTATTTAAACTACACTGGGTATGTCTACACAAGACACTAAACGCGCAGTAGACTAATTCTATCGTGCATGTGTGTGTCATGGCAAAAGCTATGCTAATGCACTAAAGTACAGTACAATTAGTCTACTGCTCATTAGTGTCACTAAAAGACCATGTGCTGGGGCTACTGTGCAGTAGCACCAGTTACTGCACATTGAGTTAGTACCTATTACAGGTATTAAACTTAATGCGCAGTAACAACAGCATATTAATGTATATGTCGATGTGCCCATTTTGTTCTAAATTAGATCTAAGTGGCATAAAACCACCAAGAAATCCTTAGACCACTTATTTTGACTGTCTTCCTAGCACTTCCTAAAATTATTCTTACTTCTTATGTTCTTTTGCTTGTTCATTTCCTTTACCTCTGCTCTTGACCAAAGTTTGGGAAAGAGAACGCGTCCAAATGCTATACCAAATTGCCATTAAGTCGCTCAGAGCCTAATGAAGTCTCCAGGACTCCATATAATGTGCACCAATTGTACACCAGAACTGAGTCTGATAATACCAGTGGTGCTCAGTGTTTTTCCCCAGCAGGCCAGATGGGCAGTGCCCATTCCATCTGCAGCCCGGATCCAATGGTCTTGATCCAATGCCTGGGGTTGGCATGGCAGGCACTATCTGGCCACATGGATGGGGGCAGGGAGCAGGCCAGCTTCAATATAGCCTGGCAGGTAAAAGAAGCTTAAGCCAGCTACACAGTGGCTGGTCCACCCCAGCCCTGCAGGGGGTGGGAAGCAGGTGTGGCCTGTCCTCATCAGGTAAAAAGGGGGCACAACCTAGCCTGTGGGGGAGAAGGGGAGCACGGCTGGGCCCCAACCCATAAGTGGTGGAGGAGGGTTATGACCAGGGATCCTGGTTTTCTGTGATATAAAAAAAATCATATATATTGCACATAGCACTCACAGGCACCACATGTAGCATGGGTCCCAGAATAGCTGAAACAGGCACCGTGTGTGGCATAGCCCTGGAGCTGCTGGGGTGGACACTGCATGCAGTACAGCTGCTGAACTGGCCAGACTGTACCACATGTGCTGCCTGTTCCAGCCAATCCAGGATCCATATAAAACATAGCACTTTTCAAAACCAGCTGGAGTGGCTGCTGGATCAAGTATGCTGTGGGGGAGGGAAGTCCATGGGCCAGATCAAGCCATGCATCATCTGGGTCTGTTCAGATCCAGGGGCCACAGGTGCATGCTCTGTTCCATGTGGGTCTGATCAGACTCAGAGGCAGCACCTGAAACCGGGTGGCAGGATTCTGTGGGTCAGATCTGGCCCACTAGCCATATGTTTGACAATCCTGTTCCGAATAAATTAAATCCACTGCACTAGCCTTATCCATAAAGTCTATTATCTTAGCATAGAATGATATTAAATTAGTCTGATATAATTATCTTCTGAGTAAACCTAAGTTGTGTTTTGTTCCATTTGCCACTTCCTTCCATATCTTTACCTATCCTTTCCTCCAGTATGTGTTGGTACTGTTGGTATGCCAGTACTATTAAAGTTGAGCTGCCAGCCCTATAATTGTTCAGACCACATTCTTTCTCCCTTTTCTGAAAACAGGCACTACATTTACTATTTTCCAATCATAAGGTACTCTCTCCCTGCATTGACAGGTTCTGAAAAATCCATACTAGACGCCTTGCTATTTCACATGCCAATCCCATCAACATTCCACTGGAGATTAACCATGCCTCTAATCTTGTGAGAGTGAGCAGTCTGTTTCCAGCTCAGGTATGGTAATTTCTAGGTGCATGTCTATTATTTACTATAATACTCGAGGGATGATTAGAGAGAGGATGGTGATGGATTTTTCTACATGACCACAGGGGACAGGACTACAAGCAATGGCCTCAAGCTGCAGCAGAGGAAATTTAGGTTGGCGATTAGAATTAACTTCCTGTCCACTCTGTCACCACTACCTCCAGGGAGCAGGGCTGGGGGGGAAAGAGGCTAGTAGCGCTACCCTCACGCCCCTGCTCCGCCGCCACCATCATTGTGGTGCTCCACTGCTGTCTGTCTGGAACACTGTTGGAGTACTCTGACTGGTTGTTTCAGACAGCCAATCGGGGTGTGAAGAAAGCGTGACAGACAGAGAGAAGCTTTTTTATAATATTAGAATATTTTCAAGAGCAGGTTAGACAAATACTTGTCTAGCTTGGTTTCATCAGGCATGATCCTGCCTTGAGCAGGGGGGCTGTACTAGATGAGTCCTTCCAGCCCTACTTTGCTATGATCCTATGGTCTTATTGTAAGATGCCCTGTTGGAAAGGGCAGCATATAAAGCTAATCAATAAATGTTTGCCACTGTAGCAATGTACCACTGTATCATCTTTGAAAAGATATTTCCACCATAAGAACTGTACTTAAAAAATTGCACCTGCCTTTTTACCAAAACCTCCTAAATACAGTAAAATCTGGTAACTCATCATTCTAGGGGAGTGGCAAAGATTAACTAATTAATCAGCAGCCAGCCATTTTCAATTTTAAAAAATATTTATTGGTTTTTAAATGCAATACAAAAATAACAATACATGTATCTCAACTGTACATATCAACTTGAACATGTCTGTCAGAAACAATGAAGGGAAAAGAAAATAAAATGTAAGGAAGGATGGAAGAGGAAGAGATAGAAAATGGAGAGACAGGTGTGCAAGGAATACTAGTTTAGTTGCCAAAATAGTCTAAGAACTCTCTCCAAATTGCATTAAATTTTTCAAAGCAGTTACATCTGGAAGACATTTCTCTCTTCATAGATGCCAGCTACACCATCTCACCATACCAGGTTTTGACCTTTGGAGATATCACTAATAAGGTGCAACTAACCATATTCAAATTTTCATGAGATAGCATGCAAAATATATGTCCAAACATAGTAAAGAATGATTTTGATATATGGAAGAAAAAGGCAGATTACAAAAATTCTTAGTGCAAATCATATGCACCTTGGTTCACAATGTGAGCATTGAATGATTATATAAATGTTTATCCTCCAATTTGTTGTATAAAAAACCCAGAAAGCTCACTATGTAACAATTACATGACTGTGATAGAGTAAAACCATCAAACATTTTTGCTTTGTATATAAATTATCAACTGTTCTACTATTTGGAATTATCTTCTATTTTAGCAATGAATGCATGGATGTTTTGTTGAGCCAAGAAAAGCTGGAAAGCATCAAACAATTTGTAGGCATCAGCTGACTTGGCAGGTTCCACAGAGAGCATAGGTCAGTACCTTTTAAGCTGCCTAATTACCAGGAACAAATCCCATTGTGTACCCAGTGTGTTTTGTGCACAAATCAAGAACACTCTAGTGGGGATTCAGTGCACTGACTAACAAGATCACAGCAATGATGATGAGTTATCCCAATAACTAATCAATCTAATTTCACTGCAAATAAAATTGTGCTGAAACAAACAGAAGCTAAAAAATATTACAAGTAACAAGAATTAAAATATTAACGGAGGTTTTTACCTTAAAGAGAAACAAGCACTAGACACTCTGAGAAGTCTACCATGAACACTGAGATCAACTTTAAAATAATTATCAACTTTAAAAATCAGTTCATTCTACCGCAAAGGGCAGAGGTATAAAACTCTATAGGTACAGTTAATATCTACTGAACTGTTTTTATTTTTGGGGAGGGCAGACAATATCACAACTTGGCCCCTAGCAGACGTTACATTTATCATTGGTTAAGATCAAACTTAGTATACACAACAGCTCAAGAATCCTGAAAAAATATAACATAGTATTAAAAATGATATGACTAACTTGCACAGAAGCTATCTTTACCTGAGAGTGGCTCCTTCGGTCTTTACCTCATCTCCATCTTTCAGATATAAATACTTTTGTTCTCCTCTTCCTATTATTTCTTCACGAGGTGGGGTGCGTGGAAGCTTACTAATGCAAAATTTGGAACCTGTTTTTAAAAAGTAAAATTATATTTCAGATTGTTCCTGTCTAAACATTGGTAATTGACTAAACAAGGCCATTTCATAAAAATTCAAAATGACAGTTGATGTACCATTAACACATGGTCTACAGCACATGCAAAGTTAAAGAATAAAAAATTGACATAAATATCTTATGTTAATACAGCAACTTAATTTATATCCACATAGGAAGAACTGTTCAAATGCCAAAGAAAACCTCTGAAGGGACAGGTGTGCCAAACTATTTTTGGAGGATAAAACAAGAAATATTTTTTCTAAGTGAAATTACTAAGAAATTTTCATTTAAGTTTTACAATCTGTTAACTGGTTTAATTTTCAAAACCTGTTTCTTGTTCACAAAGATACCATCACTTCCAACATCATTTGGGAATTCCTTGAAAGAGGTTTTGGGAATATCTCCCACTAAACAGAAAAGGGCTGTAGTCTCTATGCTGTTCATTAAGTTTAAAAAAAAATAGCTTTCACTGTTTAAAAATTTAATTAATTAGAATCTTAAAAGTCTAGCTTAATATGTATCAACGTGATATACTGTTCATTTCAGATAAGGGTAGATGTGAAAAGATGTGATTAATTTTGGGCCAACTGCCAGTGCTTTAAAGAAATTTATTATTCAGGAAAAGCCATTTGAATTAGGGATGTGAAAGGGGAAACAATAAGTATATTTTCCACTGGGGAGCCAGGATTTTATTTTTAGGGGTGTTTTTTCAGTGATTCTAGGCAAAACTATGGAAACTGTGATTTTTTGCGGTTTCTACAATAATTGTGAAGCCATTTGAGTAGGTCCCTGGTTATTGGTTAACTGTTTAACCAATATCATTGGAGAAGTTTAAATGGGTAATTATTTAAATTATATATACATCACCAATTTGAATGGCTGCTTTACTTTGCTACTCAAGTGAAAATAATGGTCAACAGGCTATTGATGGTACTGGATATCATAGTTTCATAGTTTCAGGGTCGGAAGGGACCTAATAGATCTTCTAGCCCGACCCCCCGCCAGGGCGGGAGAACAACCCAAAAACACAAACAAAACCACTCCCCCTAAAAACAAAAACGGGACTCAAATGAGTCCAGCCAGGTAAGTATCCAGCCTCTTCTTAAAGATCCCCAGGGTAGGGGCCAGCACCACCTCCCTTGGAAGTTGGTTCCAGCTCCTAGCCGCCCTGACTGTGAAGTAGTTTTTTCGGATGTCCAATCTGTACCTCCTCTCCATCAACTTGTGCCCATTATTCCTTGTTATGCCAGCAGGGGCTAGGGGAAACAGCGTCTCCCCCAAACCCTTCTGGTTCCCCCTAGTGAGTTTATAGACGGTCACCAGGTCCCCCCTCAGCCTTCTCTTGTGGAGGCTGAATAGGTTCACTATCAACCTCCTACTATTGTGTGAGTTATCAATGGTAAACTAGATTTTTTTCTCATCATTCTAGGATAAAAAGAAGGTAGAATGAAGCTTCTTTCCTCCAAACAGACATATGTTAATAGGAAGAAATAGTGACTAAATCAAGTATTTGTGCTATTCACTGCACTTACACTATGCACTGCAGCAATGCCATCAAGTATTTAAATATGGTGTACAGTTCATACAGAGAATCTAGCTAACAGGCTTACAAAACACCCAGTGAGATGTTCCTTGGCTACATACCTAACAAGTCAGCCCTTCAGCACCTGAAAATTAAACTCTAATCCTCTGCCTACCTTTACCGATGTTTTTACATATGTCGGAGATGCCGCCAGTGTGATCAGCGTGCCAGTGTGTCACTAAAATCTCTTGTATTGAGATGTTGAAATCATTGAGCGCCTGCTTTAAACAGCCAATATATTCAGGTATTGCTGGCTCTCCTGTGTCAATGAGGATCCTTCTACATTTAAAAAAAAAGAAGGCAGAGACATTCCATTAAAAGAAGCAGCCTGAGAATTAAGAGAAGACTAGCACAAAGCTTGAAGTTTTATAACCTACAGAGCCCTGAACACAGAGATGGCACTAGCCTCCCTGAGAGATGCCTTTCTCCTAGCGACAGATGCCCCGGGGGCAATCAGCACACCTGCCTGGCTGGAAAAGCCACTTCTAGGCTGGGCTGGAGGGAGATCTCAATTGCAGGAGTGGGTATTTTCTACTGGGGCCGGCTGCAGGAGCCATGCCCAAATGTCCTTCTTCAGTGCTGCCAGGGTCCTGAAGCCACAGGGATCCTGCAGAGACCCTTCTCCCAGACCAGCCGGAACCGAAGCCTGCCCATTCGGCTTCAAACCAGGCCACGGCCTGAGCGCGAGCCTAGCAACACTGCCCGGCCTCCCGCCCCGGGTGGACCCTCTGCCACTGGCCCGAGCAACTCTGGCTCACTACTTCGCGCATGCGCCGCTGCCAGCGGATCCTCCTCCCCGGCCAGCGCTGTGACGTCACGGCTCGGACATCCGGCAGGGGGGGGGCTCATGAAGGGGGCAGGGGGGCCCCGGCAGCGCCCATTACCTAGGCCCGGTGCCCACCAGGTAGGTGTTGGTGCCCTGAAGGGTCATGGGGCCCGGATTGCAGCCCAGCACACGCACCACTCGCGCCGACAGCTGCTCGATGCGCGGCAGCAGCGCCGCCATCTTGCCACCGCGCAACGGCAGCGGGCGGAACGTACCATGTCCGCCGCGCGAGCCCTCCCCGCTCGGGGCGGAACGGACAGTGTGAGTCACCCGGAACGTCTCCTCCTCCCGCCCACCCTGCCCCGACATGGTTCCGCCCCAGCTGGGCGGGGCCGAGGGGCGGGGCTTCGCTGCTCCGCTGCCGCTCGGCTGGTCCGAGGAAGTTTGAGTCGGCCGAGCACGGCCCTGGCCTTTTCGCTCCTAGCGGAGCCCCAGAAGCGGCGCAGTGAAGTAAGGGACCTCCGGGACTCCTCTAGTCCAGTGCTTCTCAAACTCTCTGATGTGGTGAACCGGCAATTTTTTTTCCAGCGGGCCAGGGACCGGTGCCTGGTTCACCCGGCGGCAACAACTGCGTGTAACAGCGCTACACAGATGCGCGACCGGCTGTTTCTTTCTCTTTCCTCACCTCGCACGACATGACGTCATCTGGATTGCTGGAATTTACGAACCGTGGCGCTATAACACATCAATGTTATGCTTCTGAAAATATGTTTCTTTCTTTCCTGGCAGCTCGCTGCGGACTGGCACCGGTCCCCGGACCACCACTTTGAGAAGCACTGCTCTAGCCCACCCCCTGCCTGAGGCAGGATCAGCCCTAGCCAAAGCAATCCATTGTCTGACGTGGGGGTGCTCCTGCTCCATCCCACCAGCAAATCTGGCCTGTGGAGCCATGACATTTGGCCATGGGGCTCGCTTAGGGGTTGCAAAACTTCGTGGGGTGTGTTGGAAGTGCCGTGGGGCCGACTTCTGCCTCAGTGGGGCCATTGCAGTGAAAGGAGATGAGAGCCCCACCCTCCAAGCATGTCCAGATCAGGCTGAGCTGCTCTCTCTGCCAGCTGCCGCATCTCCAGACCAGGGCCACTCGTACCCCATTCCCTACCTGTGTGTCTGGATCAGGGCCGTCCTGCCAAGCCCCACGCGTCCGGTCCTGGACCCGGGCTGGGCTGTTTCCCCATTGCCATGATCCACATTGAAGCCACTCTGCCCCCCTGCACATCCAAGTCAGGGCCGCCTCTGCTCCTCCCCTCTGCCCCTCCCCTGCTACAAGTAGATGGATCAAGGTCTGACTGAACAACCCCTACAGCTGGATGCTGCCTATCAGCCAGATCTGGCTTGTGGAGGGCCCTGGCACTCTTCCAACTGGTCTGCTGAGTAAAAAGGTCTAACCCAAGGGTAGGCAACGTTTTTTGGCTGGAGTGCCGAAAAAAAACACAATGTCTACCTTGGAAGGAACCAGACACATGTGCACACACAGACGCACAGAACCAGAGGTAGACAAACATACAGAACCAGATGCATGGGTGCACAGAGCCGGGCTGCTGGGCTGCAAGACAAAGTCTGACTCAACAGTGCCCTGGGCCTGCCGGAGCCCCTGTGATTCCCTGGGGAGCCAGACCCCGGGCTGCAGCATGGCTGGCCAAGGCCCCGGCCCAGAGTCTGCCCATCAGCCCAACTACCCACCCACTCCACACAGCTAAGCCTGCAAAGGTGCGGCACTCCTGGCAAGGGGCAGCGCCAGTCGCATCCCAGTAGGGGGCTGGGCCACAGCTGGGCTTGGAGCGGGTGGGAATCAGGCTGGCTCAACTTCAAGCCCTGCTGCAAGCAGCCTGGGCTCCGTAGTTGGCAGCAGCTACCCAGAGCTGGGGCTGGCTGCAGCTGGGAGTCTGCAGACAGCTGCACGTGCGCCTCGGAGCAGACGGTAGGCGGGCCCTGAGGCAGCCCAACCCCAGCCTCTCCCCTGCTGCCAACACAGAGCTGATGACTGGGCTCTGGAGCCTGGAGCAGCTGCTTGTAGCCAGCCTGGGCTCTGGGCTGCTGCAGCAGGCAGGCTGCAAACAGCTGTGCTGGGGTCTGGCATCAGCTCTACCGGCGTGTGCATGTGTGCCTCGGAGTGGACGGTGGGGGATGGGCCTGAGGCAGCACAACCGTGGTCTCTCCCCTGCTCCCAGCACAGAGGTGATGGCAGGACTCCAGAGCCCGGCGCAGCTGTTTGTAGCCAGCCTGGGCTCTGGGCAGCTGCAGCAGGCAGGCTCCAAACAGCTGTACCGGTCTCCACAGCTCCAGCATCAGCTCCATGCTGGTGGTGACTGCTATGTACCTCGAAGCAGACAGTGGGGATAGGGCCTGGCCCTGAAGCAGCACAACCCTCCTGCTGTCTGCTCTGAGGTGCACGGCAGCCACCAGCAGCACGGAGCTGATGCCTGGGCTCCGGAGCCCGGCACAAGTGTTTGCAGCCTGCCTGCTGCTTGCTGCAGCTGCCCAGAGCCCAGGCTGGCTACAAACAACTGCGCTGGGCTCTGGAGCCCTGTCATCGCCTCTGTGCCAGGAGCTGGGGAGAGACCATAGTTGTGCTGCGTCAGGCCACTCCCACTGCCCACTCCAAGGCACACGTTGGTACAGAGCTGATGCCGGAGCCCAGCACAGCTGTTTGCAGCCTGCCTGCTGCACACAGCCCTGGCTCTGGGGGA